GTGAATAGCTGCTTTTAGGTGCTTTCTGGAGGAGGATAAAATACAGAATCACGGCACTCTTCTCTTCCAGCGTCCCTGGCTGCCTGTAAATTGCTGTGAATGGGGCTGTGGGCTGACAGGCTCTATTAAGACAAACTGCCTTTCTCATCGGAGAGATAAAATAAATCAGGTGTTTAGTCAAATTAAAATACTTCAGCTGGAGCAGGCCCTGGGGAGCACTGATCCACCTGACTAATCTGAGAGAAACTCAAGACAGATGTGGTTTGGGGATAAAGACGACCCCATGGAAAAAAAAAAAACAAAAACTGCTACACTGTTTGGAGTTGGAGAATGGAGTTTACAGTGGAGAGTGTCAGGAACACACTGTGTATGATATGGGATAAAAGCAGACACATCGATGTAGTGAAGCCGTGTACGGAAGCTGTTTTTGCTGGTTCCTTTTTTGCGGTTTGTGAAACTACCTCTGTTTCTGTGTGGGAGAAAGTATTTTCTGGCAAGAGAATCATTTTAGAGGATCATTTAAAGATAGCCTGAAGAATGTGAAACAGAGGATGTTTGGCAGCTACTGATGACCTCTGCTGGCCTGGACAGATCCTGAGGATCTGATCTACTTTTTCGCCAAGTTGATTTGATCAATCCTCAAAGCATAACTTAAGACAGAATTTTCTATAGAGAGTTAAGTAACCTCAAAAGAGCAAACTGTATGGTATTTTGCCTTCTTTAACATAGCCTGACATTATTTAGGCTGCCCCACTATGTCCCATAAAATTTCAACAACTCTGGCAGTTGTAGTTCCTTTGCCAATACAAATTTTCATGTTCAATTAAACTGGTATTGTTTGAGGTGAAATAACTCATGTTCAGGGCCTCCCTGGTGGCGCAAAGGGTTATGTCGCAATCTATGAAGCTATCTGTAGCCACTAGAAGCACAAGTTCGATCCCTGGCCAGGCGGCCAGGGAACAACCAACATGGCGCAGCAGACCTCTCCTGACTCGCCTGCTGCTCCCCTCAGCAGTGTACTTCGGTCAATCTGCCTGTTCTGCTCCCCACTCTGTCTCTCTTAAATCCTCTTACCCCCCACATTTCTGGCCTGTACCCCAGCTCTTGTATGCATAAATAAATCTTTTTAAAGAAAAGAGTAACTTGTGTTCAGATGTTGGTTGGTCAATGTGATCAGAGCTAGTGTTATTTTTATTAGAGCATCATAAGCATTTGCTGTTAATTAAAACAGAAAAATCCAATCCCATCAGTTTTAAATATCTGGTTTTAAACCATTATGTATGAGCAAATACACTAGTATAGTGCAGATAATAACCCCCCCCATACATGAACACATGACTAAACATTTCAAAAACATAAACTAGAGTATGGTCTATATTAGTTGAATTTTCTTTAATTTGACCTCCTAGACTAATGTCACATTACTAATAGAAATATGTGTATATAATATGTGTATGTTATATATGTGTAGTTTCCTATTCAAGAGACTAATTCCTCAAGGTTCTAATAGAAATTATATATGTTTGTGTATGTACATATAAGTCCATGTATACTTATATATGCATATATAAAGCATTTATATCCATATATAAATTTTTCATTAAGAGAAATTTTTAATTTGTTATACTGCTATATTTCATTCAAACCACATTTGTTTTCCCACCCATATCTATTCCATATATATATATATATATATGTGTGTGTTCCTCAAATTTAAGAGAAATATAGTAGCAGCCTTCTTATGAGTATCTAAATCCTCAGTTTAAAAATACTGATCTCTGACTCGTCTTCTTCCTCAGTCCAGTGAAAAACTTACTTAGATGTCAATTAAGTTTAACAATTAAGCGAATTGAATGTCATGCTGATTTTCAAAAAGATTCTGCTAAATGTCATTCTGTAATTCAGATATACTTATCCTTGTCTATTAGCATTGTAGTCACAAATGCATTTGTAGACCTCTTGGCTTCATCTTGAACAGAAGAAGCTAAGGAGTCATTTATATCCTAAGCTTCTCTGTTTCCTATTTAAAGGATTTTACATATTGAAGATAGCCGAAAAGACATTGTTTAACCTGAGAAAAAATTTTCTGGTCTTTACTAGTGAATCTAAATTTTATTTTATTTTTTTTAATTTATGATTATTTTTGAGTCAATTTTCTTTCTTTTTCTTTTTAAAAGATTTATTTATTTATGCATATAGGAACTGGGACACAGGCCAGAGATGGGGTGGTGGGGGGGTGAGAGGATTCACCAGAGACAGAGTGGGGAACAGAACAGGCAGACTGACTGAAACACACTGCTGAGGGGAGCAGCTGGCAAGATAGGAGAGGTCTACTTCGCCATGTGGGTTGCTCCCTGGCCAGCCGGGGATCGAACTCGTGCTGCAGAGGCTGCAGACTGCTTCACAGTATGGTGCTTAACCCCTTGTGCCACCAGGGAGGCTCATGAATCTAAATTTTAGATCCAATTCTTGTATGAGTCTTTGCCCAAAATTTCTTGATTGCTCTTCTTTTTACCAAAGCATTATGATACAGTAGTAACTTCCCTAGTATCCAATAAACTTTCTCTTAACTCACCATATATAGATAGGTATAACAAGAAAATTACATAGTGATCATATTGCACAAAATACATGTAGTAAAAAGTGCACACATTCTCTTTATTTAACCTTATAACTTTCCAAACTATTTTCCATACTGCAGCCAGAACGACAACATCATCAGTTGATGAAAATGCTTTAGTCTTTTTGAAATATTCTTAGACTAAATATGAAGTTCATCAAGCATGGTCTGTAAGGAACTAAATGTTGTGACCTTTTTCTGCCTCTCTGGCCTCCTCTGGTATTTTGCTGCCATTAATTTTCCTTGCTTAAGTTTTAGTACCTTCTTTTAGCTTCTGGAAAACACTGAAGCACTCCTACTCCCACCTTTACCAGGTCTTTGAGGAAGTTTTTTCCTCCTCAAAAACTGCTTGACCATCCTCTAACTCTTTTGCCTAGTTAACTCATATTTATCTTCCTGCTAATCCGTTACTTTTTCTGGCACATGTTCCCTAAACTTGGCCTCCCAAACATGGCTAAACTTCCCCTAAATCCTATATAATTATAATTTACATTTATTTGTGTGATGGTTTGAATATGGTGTCTCCCTTCTTTGGACTACAAATTGCATGAGAAGAGGGAAGTGTGTCTGCTTTTTCTTGACATGGTATCCTTAATTCTTGACAAAGTATCTGATACCTGGTTTCCATTTGGGAAATAGTTTTTTATTAATAATGCATAAAATGAGTAACTACTTAAATTTCATACTTGTGTTTTCTCATACCTGTCTATATTAACATACACATTGAGCTTGTCGTGCCTTTGAAAAGATTTTATGATCCCCTCTGGAAACCTGCTTTTATATTTTAATATTTTTGGATCAAGAAATTCTTCCTTTTACCAAATTGAAAATACTATTGCTGAAATAAAAATAACTCATTAAGAAAATAATTGATTCCAATGGTTAGAACAGTTGATCACTATCCTTGATATAGTACAGTGTTCTCATCAGTGGAATACATTTGTTAATATCTTACTACTTTATTTTTCTTTGAATTTTGATTTTAGGCCATCTTTTAGCTCACTGATTCTTTAGGAATATGGGAGTACTGATAGTTAATTCTTTCAGAATTTGATTTGACATTAAGAATTCCTAAATGTGCTAGCTTTTCTTCTGACAATAGTTTTTCCTTCTGGGAATCACCTTCTAGAAAGTGCTGGACATAATCTCTGAAGGTTTTCTTTCTCCATGGGCCATGCAGAAAATAGGGCCACTCTTAATTTAAATATGTTTTAGTTTCTCAGGTTGTCCTAGTGCTTTCTTAGCAGGAATGGTGCTGGTGGTGTGTGTGTGTGGGGGGGTTCATTACGAGATTGGCGTCTCCTCTTCCACATGCACAAAAATTGGCAATCTTTGTCCCCTTTGACAGCTGGTGGCATCTTTCTGAAAAGCTTTCAAATCATAGATCATTTCTTCATAATGAAACCTGTGTAGTTCAAATACAGTGGGTTGAAACTCTTATCTTATGCTGCAGTAAAATGCTCTAATTTAGATTCACAAAAGGATTCTGTACCCTTTACTTAGGAGAGCTGTGCAATTTACCCATAAAAAGACTGTTCAGCACCATTAGTGCATACCATAAGTGTTCAGCAACATCATATTCATTAAACACCACATCCTTATGCATAACCTTTTCAACCTCAAATGTGTTTTTTCCCTTTGAAGAATGACAAATGACAAAGGGGTGAGGGAGTCCTCTAAGCAACGTTGTTGCCTTTAAGGATGAACTTGGAACTTCAGCTTGATCTCCTCATAGGAAAAATAACAGCTTGAATCCTTTCTTACCTGAGGCAGCGCAGCTTTATTTTCTCTTTAGAATTTGTCCCATGGCCAAGAGAGTGACCCCTGACTTCTGAACTTTGGAGACAGATCTTTGTACAATGGAAAAATTGGATTAGGGCAATGATCAGAAAATTCCTTAAATAACATTTATTAAGCACCTATTCTTTCTTAGATTCTATGTTAGTCACTAAGTGTAGAAGTGGTTCTAGAATATTAATACAATGCACAGGTTCTAATCTTTGTTATTAAATATCATAAATTTTCAAACTTGACCAGGTAGTTGTGGCTTGGAATAGAAAGGGGAGTGTGGTGAAAGGGAAAGAATGAGGTAGGTTGTTCTGCTTTTTGTTGTCGATTTTTCGAAGAGTGGGAGGAAAGAGTGAGTGAGAATTTCATCAGTGACGATATTTTTTCTTGGCAGGGGCAATGACTAAGCCTAACATTTATTCCACCGCTCTAACAACTGTGGTGTTCCTGGACTCACAGTGACCTTTATTGTCCTAAATCTTTAAATGTCTTAGGGTGGTCCTTTTCTGAATCTACCCACCACCCTAACCTTTCCCCAATTCACTTAGACTTTTCGCAAACTTGTGAGATATCTTCTTGCTTTCATTTTTAGGTACACCTGAGAGTCTGGCAGAAAAAGAACGACAGCTCTCCACCATGATTACCCAGCTGATCAGTTTACGGGAGCAGCTCTTGGCAGCGCACGATGAACAGAAAAAACTGGCAGCCTCACAAATTGAGAAACAACGGCAGCAAATGGACCTTGCTCGCCAACAGCAAGAACAGGTGAGCCCTGCAAAAGGAGCTGACTAACTGGAAATGTGGAATGTGCCAAGCTCAGAGAGTAATCACATTGATTGGTTTATTTGTCATAAGCATGCCTAAAAGACAAAGAAGAAGAAGAAATGAAGAAGGAAGAATCCTCTGGAAATCTAGGGTCTTCAAGAATGCTGAGGGTTTGTGTGAAGACAGAGGAAGGCATCATAGCAACTGAGCATAACTGAAGTGATTACACTGTTTTAGGACAGTGATTAGTCACTCAGGGATTCTTATTCACATAGATATCACATGTATTCCCAACATACCTTAACCCCGAGTCAGTAGTTTTTCTCTGAGCCTTCTGCTTCTCATCCAGAAGAAGAGGTCCTGATCTAGAAAACTTTGAAGACTTTTCAGCTCACTGACCTAATCTTCACTTTAAAGCTAGGGTAATCATATATATCAGTTTCCCCAGAATTGCCCCAGTTAATACCTGTTTTCTAGGAAAATGAGTAATAATACCCCCCTTCCATTTGCAAAAGTTGTCCTGGTTTGGGTGAGAAATTTTATGTTACTCTATAGCATAGAGAAATTATTGAAAACAAATTAGCACAAGACTTCTATAAGAATTTGACTTCACTGATTTAGAAGTGACAAGGAAGAAGGAAAACAGGAAAGTTTAAATATATAACTTTTAAAAAATAAATCACTTTCCCAAATGTTTTTCCTGTCTCATAAGAGTACATTAATCTAGCAACAATGTTCCCATAGAGTAGCCCCTGATGCTTTAGATCAGACAGAGCCAAATTAATGTGCAGTTTTTAGGAATCTGACATTATTACTGGAATTATCTTTTCAGTTAAATGTATTTTATAGGGGTATATAGAGCAATATATGCTCTGTTGATTTTAATGAGTTGTGACGTCTGGTATTTTATATGCTTGAATATTTGCCCACATGTAGGAATATGGACTCAGCCCCTAATGGAAAATAACATAAAGGAACACTGTAAAAAATCAGAAGTTAGAATGTCATTTAGCCATCCAGAGATGACACAGTAATTAACTATTGACACTTGTGAATAAGCTAGCACAAATTAATCTTGACACATTTGCAGACGAGTGATATCTTACAGTGAACACTTTGTAATTATATTTCAAAATGAAAATTAAATGACACTTAAAACTAGGTTGTCATGCTCAATGAAGCGAGCATGTAGCTCAACCGATTGGCAAATAAAATTCAGAATTTGAGCCACATGGTGCTTATGTACCATACTTCACAGTGTCAAACCCATGCGTCTAGAGTAGATGATAGTAATTGCACTGTGGTGTTTTGGAAGCATTTCTATGTGGCACTTTATCATTTAGGAGGGACCATCAATATTGGCTGCCTAGTGGTATTTCACTGGTTTGCTAGGAGGAAATAAATATTCAGGGGACCCAGCATCTATACCTAGAGCTGCAGAGTGAGCTGTCCGTTTCTGATTTGAATGGTGACAAGCAGGGTGGATCTTTCCAACCTGATTAAATACTCTTTCCATTTTGCTTATAAAGCTTTGGGGAGGAGTGGTCTCATTTCTCAAGCAGTAGCCTATGTTAGGGGCAGCTTTATCATGACTTCCAGTAGGAGCTAGTCATCACTGCCATTTCGTCCTCTTCTGCTGAATGAAATGTGATGTGAGTGCTTTCCTCTGCTCCAAGCTAACACATCACAAAGATTCAGGAAGTATACATCTGATGCGCACTCATTTCCACTTCCAAAATCCCCTATTCTAGAATACTGGCTTTTGAAAATAGAAGAGATAGGGAGGGGGAAAAAACCCTAACTCTTGACCATAGGGTTCCACTAAACTAACTCCTTCCCACTGGACACTTTTCTCTCTGGCTTCCTAAGTTTCTGGAAAGTGTGTTCTTACTAAGGGGCATCCCCCCGGGGCTTCAAGCTCCAGCAGCACATTTTTCCAGGCAATAAGTAGCCCAATGCCTAACTCTTGCTTTATAGTAAACACCATTATTCTAGAGAAGTTGTTTGCTCCCCTGAGGGGCAGATTCAGTCCTCAGTAGCACTTGCATGAAGTGGTTAATATTCCTTTTTATAGACTAGACAGCATGTGAAGATGTTGAATTGATTGTTGAATGAAGCAAAGGAATATAAAACTTGCATGTAGATCCTGTAAATTAATACATTACTCTCAAAAGGCTAAATGGATAACTATTCAATTTTGTTTGTTTTAAAAAATGCTTTGTACATGATGTATGACAGCAACAAAAAAGCTAAAGATTTTTTTACATTTGCTGTGTGGGTTGTTTTTTTCTTTGGCATTTCTTTGACAATATTTGTGTTGTCAGTTCTGAAAATATTTACATCAAAAAATGTTTCACCAAAGTCTTTGCTTACAGATTTTACTTTTCATATCCAATTTAAGTTTTTGAAAAAAATGTAGCCTGTTATTCTGTTTTTAGTCTTCAAGGATTAATTTTGAAATTTTCATTCATTCAAAAATGACCAATACAGGTGTAGATGAACTGCTCACAAATGTAACACTATATAGAGCTTTAACTTATAAAGTTTTGGGGGGTAAGTGGAGAGATGGCACCTATTTAAGCTTTTTCCTTTTCTCGCATTCTGCCTCTCTCATTTTATGGGACTCTTACATAGAAGTGTAATAAAGTATTCTTGTAATGCCAAGAGAGATACCTGAGATAATCACAAAGGTGTAAGCATTTCATTTTAACTTAATGAAACTTTATTTCTGATAGATTGCAAGACAACAGCAGCAACTTCTGCAACAGCAGCACAAAATTAATCTCCTGCAGCAACAGATCCAGGTCAGTGTATTTTATTACTCTCGTCTGATTATACGTAAATACTTTCCTCCTTGAAAATGGAATTTAAAATGCTGCAAATGTACCCCTCTCTTATAAACAGCACCAATAGGGTTGTTATTCAAGGATGTTACACACAATTGTGTAAGTGGATATAAGAAATAGATTTCTTTTCTGATGTGATACGTAAGCAGAATAAACCTTATCTATTATTTCCTCCTGTCATTTGTCTGACATAACCTAGGGAAACTTAATGGTTTCCAAGGTAACACACATATGGCTATTTTTATTGTCAAAAGCCACTGTCTGTTTTGTATTTTACCATCTAATAGTACATGAGGAGAAGCCTCTTTTTATTTACTTTGTGGGACAAGCCGATTGGGCCAGCTATGAGAAGAATCTTATGACTTGGTAAAAGGCTGATACAATTACTTTGTCCTTTAACAAATTTTTACTGCATTTCTACTGGGTGCTCAGGAAAATAAAGATTAATGAATAACTGTCTGTCTTCAAGAAGCGTGTAGTATAGAAAGGAAGAAAACTTATTCCTCAATAATTGTACCACAGTTTAGAAATACCCCTTTTTATTGTGGCAGGGTAATATAATACATAGATCATAATTACAATGGCCTAGAAAGGAATCCTTTCTGTTATTCCATCTAGATGCTTAATGGTTTATTTAACGAACAACTTGAGATGAGTAAGGGAAGTGGTCTTCAGTTTTTAAGTAGTCCCTGTTTTTGAACAGGAACATATATGTGTGACTTTTCAGAAGCCAGAGGAATAAGATTCCAGAGTTATATGTTCCCCCACAATAGACTCTGGTTTCTCTTGGTTGCTTTATTTTTTTTTTAACTTCTGGCATCTGTGATTTGCTGTAGTTGAGGCAGTTCAATCTGAATTTTAAAAATTCACCCACAAAGTTGTAACATATTCTAATTGTCTACCTCATTGATGAAAAACAGTGATTTTTAACTTAGATCCTTGCTTCATTTGGTAATTATTCTGAGTGTTCCAGTAGTAGTCAGTGCATTTAAAACATCAATTTGGTACCTGAAGAAGTATCTGTACTTAATATTTTGTCCAGCTACCTTTACTAGGAGGTTTTAAGCAGTGATAATTGTTTTGTTTTCTTTTGGTTTTTCAGTTCTGATTCTATAGTCCATACTCAAGTCTATATATTTCAGAATAAAGAGTTCAAATTAGAAGAGTTGGAACATCTCTGGCATTTTTGACACTCAGCCTTTATAGTTAAATCTTGGAATAATTTCTCATCCTCTTATCTCTTTCATGACTCATGTTGAAATCCTCATGTAATTGTCCATGTGTTCCTTTGCTCTGCCTTTAGAATTTTCAGTGTGTCTCCTGCTAAAGTCACGATTTTTAACCTGTGACTTCCTACATTTTTTTCTCTAGATCCTTCTCTAAAAACTCTAGTTGTTAAATAACTTAATCCTGTGGTTCTGTCTGTTTCTCTTACTTGTAAATCAGGAATGAAGACGTTCCTTAAGGCATTTTCATATCAGTTACTTTTAAATGTTTTTACTACTTTATTACTCACTACTATATTTATATCGAATATATTTCACTTAGTTGCCCAATGTTATTTGTACTAACTGACTGTCTTAATTGATGTTTGTCTGTGGTTCTGTGGATTTAAGATGAACAGCAACCAATTTAGTTCAGAGTATTGTTATGAAATATTACTAGTAGTTATTGACTACATATAATTTTATAGTCATAACTTGACTACAAGAAATTGATGTCTTTTTCAGGAAGCTATAGAACTTGATGTTAAAATATTATATTCATTTTGAGACGATAAGGAGATTGTCTTACAAGTTTTCTAATACGAGTTTAATTTCTTTAGAAATTATATTTCTCATTGTTTAGATTTTTTTTAAATGGAAGTTAATCAGCACTTGATCTCAGCAGCATAAATTATAAAAGGTCATAGTGAAACTCAAAGAGTTAGACTTTCATTCATTTTAGAAATATGGGATTCTTTGTAATAAGAATTTATATTTCAAAAAATAAAAGGAAGCAATAACCTGTATTTACAGTTCATTCTGTCCTGAGCTACTGCATTATTACATATCTTGTCAGCATTTATCTTATCAGTATGAGACCATTCAAAGAATTTTTCAAATACTGAAATACACTTACTCCTTACACAAAACATTTATCTTTGGCACTTACCTAGCAGTTATTTGATACTCAGACTTTTAGTTTTGTTTTGGTAGGGGAATGATTTAACTCTTTTCAAATATGGCTTTTGACAAGCCATACATATGGCTTTTGACAAGCCATACACAGTGATTATTGTTGGCCTAATTTTAATATAGTTTTGAGCAAAATATAAAATTTCAGATGTGCTTCACAAAGATTTTTGTCATTAAGATTCATTCCTCCTTTTGAAAACAAAATAGAATAAAGTGTCAAATAGAACGATGAATACAAAATGTAACGTCTGTTCAGAAAGCAAGTGAATACACAATTTCAGAAAATTTGACCTTTTTTCTTCATTTAAATTTTGAATTTTTTTCTTTTTTTTAATATAGAACCTACTAGCTAACATGGTCAGCAAAATGAAGCCATGAAGACACTTATCAGGGGGTTATATTCAAGACAGTACTTTACTTCTAGTTCAGAATGCTTACTTTTGAGTTAGTGCCTTTGTTTTATAATTTCAAGCTGTAATAGAAAGAAAGGAAAGCATCCACATTCTTGCAATAACCACACACAAACAAATCTGGGCCTATTATAGTGGAAGCTAATGAAACCTGAATGGCTTGCACAGATTGAAAAGTAGAATTTTCATTAGAGATAGGAAAAGGCATGACCAAAATAGTATTGTAGAATCTCCATGCTTATTTGTAATCTATCATAATTTTTACATGCAGTTAATATATCATTTATGTTGTTCTTCCTTAAATATATTTTTAGATGATTTTGTATTCCTAAAACCTAACTAAACTTTTAAAGAGATAGTTTTAAAAATATGTTGTATTGAAAAAGGAAAATGGAATGATTTTGCAAGCTGTTTTTATATTTCCGGTCAATTTTTTGTCAGTTAAAAAATGAGATAATAACTTTAAATGATTATTAAAATACTTTAATATTAACAGATCTTGTAGGCAGCTATTTGTTCAGAGAATTCAAATCCCTCTGTGCTTTGGGGAGAATGGTGATTCTTCTAATTTGCGATATATAAAGTAATTCCCCCAATATGGAGCCCATAAAAAGTTAGATATTTTTGATAGTTCCAGGACTGAAATAGCACATTTCTTACCAATTCTGTGGAAAACAAAATTAATAAATCACAGAGTATGGGTCTTTGCAGTTGGGAATATTGATTCTTATGCTATAATTATTACAAAGGACAGACATCTGCTTCAGCAATTTCATCCTCTTTCTCCCACCCCCACTTGACAGTGTCTCAGTTGATCTTTTGAAGTATTTTATTTGTAAATTATGTTAATTGGTAAACAAAATTCACTTTTAATGCATCAGACGTATCAAAACATGTTTGAAGTATTTTGATCAACTAAAATATAAATCTACTTTAAGCAAAATAAAAAATTTGTTATAAATCCTGATTTTCTTGATCCACTCATGTATTTATTCACCTAATATTTGTCTGTATTATAGTTCTTGAGTCTAGAAAAAACATTTTTTTTTAATTTTTTTTATTATTTAAATTTTATTTTTATATTCCCCTTACAATTACAACCCCCTTATTTTGACCCCAAGCACTCCTTTCCCCACCCCCCACCCTCCAAAGAGTGTCTCTGGTTCATAGTTTGTTGATTTTGATATTTTCTTTCTTATAGTTATTCTTTTTCCTGGTCCCTTATTTAAGTTTTCTAGATTCTTGCTATGAGTGAGACCATCGGTATTTTTCTTTTTCTTTCTGGCTTATTTCACTGAGCATGATCCCTTCCAGCTCCATCCATGTTGCTGCAAATTGCGTGTGTTTATCTTTTTTGAATGCTGAGTAATATTCCATGGTGTATATGTACCACATCTTCTTGATCCAGTCATCCATTTTTGGGCATTTGGGTTGTTTCCAAAGCTTAGCTATTGTAAACAGTGCTGCTATAAACATAGGGGTGCAGGTGCTCTTTGGAATTGATGTTTCTGTGTCCTTTGGGTAAATACCTAGGAGTGGAATTGCTGGATCATATGGAAGCCCTATGTTTAGTAGGTCCAGAGATCTCCACACAGCTCTCCGTAGTGGTTGGACCAGTTTGCACTCCCACCAACAGTGCAGGAGAGTTCCTTTTTCTCCACAACCTTGCCAACATTTGTTGTTGCTAGTTTTAGAAAAGACATTCTTCATGGATACAACATACCTCCCTTTGTTTTGATAGCAAGTCAACAGGAATACTTTTAACATTGGCATTTTGTTGCTAGACTTAATCTCAGCAAGATAATTCAGCTCATTAAAATATTTTCATGATAAATGTACTTTTCCAGGCATGACTGGTGCTATCCAGTTATTCATATCTCTTAAGACTCCAATTTTAGAATTATTCAATCAACTTATACTGGGTGCTATATGGCAGTGTCCTCACCTCACATCACTGTCCAGACAACAATTTCTTAAAAATAGAAGAGAATCTAAGCTTTTTAGCATAAAAAACAAACAAACAAAAAAGAAAACCAGACTGACTGGTTGGGATTTTTTTGGCGTTTAGCTTCCTGGGCCAGGGAAATGATTTACTCAATTAATTTAGATACACCTTCTTGTGTATAATTATGAAACTTGAAATTCTTAGCTTTTTGATCATCTTCACAATTGTAAAACTTTATGATTAATATGCACTGTTCGTTACCCTTTATCATTTAATATATATATTAGATGTACAGATTCAATCTGTGAAAGGCCTAAGCTAAATGCCATTGGTGCTGCATTGCAGATATGCTTTCTTATGCTTTCTTATGCTTTGTCTTTTAAATGCTGTAACACATGCTATTTATTTACTTTACCAAAACCAGTG